GCGCGGAAGCGCGAGAGTTTGAAATGGTGAAAGCTCTGAATTGCCTAATAGTAAAGCGCTATATATGCGTTGGGAAATTGGAAATTGTAGTTGGAAAGAATAGCGAGAGCTTCCAAAAAAGTGAAAGAAGGAAACGCTTAATATTGCATTAAAAATGAAGCGCAAACAACTAGCAACACATTGCACAGAAAAGTACTCAAAAAACATGAAAATTGCAGCAAAAAAATTACAATAAAAAATTGCATGTGTTTTATGATTAAAGAAAACGTAATGAAAAAAATCAAAATACATACATATAAACAAACTAGAACAACATTTAGAAGCAACAAAAAACATGCTTAATAAAACCGATTATATCATTTACAGCAACCAAACAAATTTATACGCCAAAAGTTTTGTTTGGGAATTACAAAAAAAAATCATCGTACTCATTATGTAATTATAACTACTTATTGCTGCTAATTAATTGCGTATGTTGCGTAACTGTCCATAGGTATCTCTTATCATTACACGCGATTTTCAGCGACACACACACACCCACCCATACATAAAGCACTTAAATACAAAGCGCATACATACTCCTAAAAAGCCGGATAAATACACACATGCATATATACATAAATACAAATACTTTTATTGCCAGTTTTTGCAAATTTTTGTGATTCGTGTATATTTGATGATTACTATTGTCTACTATGTTTATTATTACTATTAAATTTATCTATTATCAGCTCTTATTGATAATCATAATTATTGCAATTCAAGTTCAACTACTACATATGTATATGTATTTAACATTTGCAAAAACCATACATATAGTTAAACATACAAACAACATACGTAATAATTGATTGCTAAACATACATATGTATATGCATAACTATTTCTATAGTTACTTAAATAATTATAATTACAACAAAAAACAAAAACAAAATAATACAATAACTTGACTATGGAATACATGCTATACATGAAAATACTTAACATTAGCATTATGTTTAATATGCAAAGTAAAGTAACAACAACAAAAACAAAAAACCAACTATTATTATACATTTGAAGCAAAAGTAAAATTTATTATTAAAAGAAAAACCGAAATGAACTTATTATGTATAAAAAAAAAACCAACAACAAAATGCTTTTTTACTTATTCTACTCGTACTCGTATTCTCGTAATCTCGTATTCGTACATCCATAAACTAGTTGCATATGTCGTAAAGCCAGTTGCATAGTACCTACATATCTTCCCCGCATTGACATTGACTTCGTTCGTGTCGTTATCATCATCGCTCATTCGCTTTCATGTTCACACACATATTAGTACATATCACATAATTAAAATTTCCGTTAGCTTTTGCATAGTTCTTCTTCATCTGCTGCTTTCATCTCGTTTTATATCCATTTTCTCAACAATTAAAAAAATATATATTTTTTATTAGCTATTAAACTTTGTGGTTCTATTTTTGTAATTTATGATTTAGTATTTCACTAGCATTTTTAATTTTTTTTTTTTTGTATTTCATGTAGCCATATTTTTAATATTTACACTCCTCGCTTCAATTGAATATGCACCTTTTTCTTCACTAGCCGAGCTTATTTCTTGTAGGCCTCAGATAAGCTTAGTTTTAATCTATTGAAAGCTTTAAAGAAAAAACCTTATAGTGCGTATAGTTGCGAATTTTTTAGTCAATGTTGAATTTTTTAGTTTTTAGTATATTACACAGTTTAACGAAAGCAATTTAACAGGACAATTCTTGCAAGCGTCACCACAGATTTCGAAAGACAAAAGTCTTTCGTAAGACAATTGCCAATTCTGGCAGCAATCTTAAAAGCTCTTTACTGTCTTTCGAGATTGAAAGATCTGCTAACAGGAAGGTCTTAAGTAATAAATTTTTTAAAAATATTTTTTTTTCATAATCAAACTATTAAAGTAAAACAAAATTAAATAAAAACAAAAATATCAAAATAAAATTAATAGAAATATTTTTAAAGATTAAATGCAATTAAATAATGTATTATTTCGTTTTATAACAATAAAAACTAAAAATTAAATTAGAAGAAAAATAAATTTAATCATAGAAGAAAATAGCACTTAAAAAATAAATAAAAAATATTTTTAAAATTAAATCAAAATTTAAAAATTTAAAGAAAATTAAATTAAAACACAAAAAATGCCTGAAGTAAAATTAAAAAAATAATATTAAAAAAAAAACTCGAACTCGGATCTCTCGTATGGGACGCCTGTGCTATGCTCACTCGGCCACTGTTGCAGCGGCACGAGCAAAATGATATACAAGTGCTATCTTTCAAAATAGCTTTTCACTACGAGAAGTCAATGAGGGAGTTTTTTTTCTAATCGCCTTATTCATAAAAAATAAAGTTGCTTTATAAAAGGTTTATTGAAATTGAAAAATGTATGAAAACGTCAATTTATAAAGCTCTTTAAAACCACTTTATTTTTTATGAATAAGGCCATAAGAGTTTTGTGCTACAATAATAAAAGTGAAAGATAGATATCTTTCATTTGTCTTACGAAAGACTTTTTACTATCTTATCCAGAATTGCGCTGTAGGTGAAAAATTATTTTTATTTTTTTTTTATATTATCAAAATTGACAGAAGAGAAAACATCATTTTTCACTTAAATTGCTGGTGAAACCGGGAGTAAGTGCAGTGTCCTTGTCGTTAGCAACTACAGAAGCGCATTCCAGGAGCACGCAACAATAAAAACAAATTTTGAAATTTGCTTTCCGATAACTTTATGGACGAGCTTTTGCGCATAGCATCAAAATAAATATTCAATTTTTATCAGCCCTTCTTAAACCCTAGCATCATATGAAAAAATCAAAAGCCACTGTGCCTATGCAAGTGAATCAAAAACAAGCAGATTTTTCGTTTTAATTTTACTTCTTTACGAAGCTTTTCGGCAGAAAAAAAGTGTATATTCAAATTAAGCGTGATGTAAACAGATTTTATAATTTTTCGTAATGCAATATTTGATTTGAGTTTTGCATTTTTTCTTAAAATGTAGTTTAAGCTTCTATTATTTTACTTAATTTTCATTGCTTTTCAATTACAGTGTGCAACAATTTCAGGGTCATTGTCTGGAGGTGGAATGATTTCAACGTTGACCTAGACCAATATAATAAAATCTTCAAATCTTTTTGCTTTCTCATGTAATTTTTTTATATAACTATATCAAGTTTTCAATTTTCTGCCTGAATAAGTGAAAAAAGGGTTAAAGTTCACATCGGAGCGAAATATGTGGCTTAGGTGCATATAGTAAAATTTCACGTAGAATAATAGAGTAATACATTCAAACCCTTTAACTCTAACACGGAAGGGTCATTTTGACCGTTCTTTGGATAGTCAGAGAAAATTGTATTTAGAAATTCAGTGGACTTTATGTTCTTTGTAAAAAGATTTTGTCTGAGAATAACCTCAGTGAAATTTTCCAAGGAATAATTTTCTAGAATTTTTTTAACACTCTAGCGACCTCACAATGGTTATTTTATTCAGTCAAAATGACCGCTTCGTGCTAAAGTTAGTGGGTTAAAATGTTTTACAGAATAATCTCTCGTGAAATTTTACTAACCGAATATATATAACCAAATATAGCCAAATATGTAGGCTGCGATATTAATTTTAACCCCATTTTAACTTATTACACACTCTGGCGAAAAATTGCAATCTTAATATGGCCATAAAAAATTTTGCTGAGAATGCAAAAACATTTGGAATCAAAAATGCTGTTGCACTGTATTATCTAGTATTTTTCCTTTATTTATTTATTCGTTGCATTGCTATTTTCTTTTTAGTATTTATTTAAACTGTATAAATTTTTAACTTTTTCATTGTTTTACTTTTTATCTAAATTTATTTCGTTTGAATTATCTATGTTTGTTATTTTTTATTCAACTACCATACTCTTTAGTGGAAGAGGTGCAAAATTATCGATAATCAGACCATCTATAGTTTTCGATATTATTTTCAAAACTATCGATATATCGTCGATAGTATCGTATTTATATGGTTTTGGCTCAATTTTCGTATGAAGATTTCCTTAAGAATATATTTCGAAACTACGTTTGGATATTCTTGTAAACTACTGTACACTTTTTTTAATTGTTTAACCGTTAAGTTAGAAGTAAAGTTATTGAACAATTGAAATTAATTGAAATAGAAAAAATTGGGCGTACTGAAATTTTATATTTGTGGGTTTAGATATCCTCCGTCATATATAAGGAATTCATCAAGTAAATTTCAATTTTAGAAGAAGAAACCATTTTTTATCTGAGAAGTAATGGTTTTTATTTACCTTTTCTTAAATAGTAAATAGTGGTGCGTAGATATATTGAAAGTTTTGGTATAAATTAATTTGTATCAGTTTTTTAGCGGTATTTTAAAAGATGCAAGGTTTTCCATCATTTTCGAAATTTGACATTACTCTTTTAAAAAAGTAGCAACCAAATTTTTAGTTCAACTTGGATGTTTGAGAGAAATGAAAAGAAAAGAAAAAATAAAACTAAAATAAATACTGAATCACATGTCTGTCGGAATATCGATAGGACCAAAAAACAATCGATAGTAGGAAAAAATAAAAAACATCGATACTATCGATAGTGCCATCGATAGTTTTGCACCTCTATTTAGTGATATTTTGCATTTTTTTTTTTTACTTTAAAATTTTCAAGCTTAAATTTTTTTCTGAACTATTTTCTGAATTATTTTTCACTCTTGCATTATTCATCTTTAGATGAATTTTCGTGTTGTTCTTTTTTAATATTTCATAACTTTTAAATTTTTTAATTAAACTGGTTATATTTTTTTATATTTTAGTTTTTGTAAGTTTTGATTTTAACATTTCAAATATTGCTATTTTATTAATATGGCATTTGTTTTAAGTGTGCTAGTTATTTTTAATCACTCCATTAATTTTGTCTTTAATTTAAATTTTTACCAAATAAGTT